TTTGAAAACCTAATGATTTAGGAGCAAAATGCGTTCGTGACGGATACATCGACCTTTACTTACTTGGAATGAGTGGTAAAGACTAAGTGCAAGAGGTTTTGGTGTGATCTTCCGATCAGCAGTACACTTCTAAACTGCTTTTCGTGCTGACGTTGGACCGCTACCGTAAAGCTTTAGCGCTGATACTGAAAGGTCAATAATTTTCCGACATGCCTTACAAAGTCAAAGCGACGAAATTAAGGTGTCTTAATGCACAATAGAAGCTTAAACGGAAGTCTTTGTGGGTACCGTTGAGGAAAAGTTTTAGAGCTTACTAAATTTTAACTTCTGTAAGACCCGTTAAGAAATCATGATATCTAGCCTTATTCAAACGCAGGAAATCAAAAAATTTATTTAGTAGAACAAGAGTAAGCCTCAAGACCATTTTTAACCGTTAGAAAAGACAGCTACTTCACCAAACTTTATAAAGATGCTTTCAATACCCAATTCACGAAGTACTTGAAGAACTAATTTCCAACAAATGTTTTACAGCCCTTTGCTATTCTAATTCGCTGACCTCCAATTCATTCATGTATGCTAGGCCATATTTACAAGTAGCCGTTTAAATGTTAAATTTTGTTCCATGTGGCTGAGCCGTATTCCGTAGCCGGCAGCTGGAAGAAATAAAATGCTACTCACTGAAAAAAAACAGTTCATTGCTGTCAAAGGAAAAATAGAGCGTAGAATCGTCTCCGCGAAGACGAGTTTTTGAAAAAAAAGGCCTTTTAGCAAAACCCGCCCAGCTTAATTGGGAAAAATTTAGCACGAGTTGAACAAATGGAACAGGGTCTGGTGGCCGAACACACAGATATCTGCGTGAAACTTTCTACAGAGAGGCACTGAACGGCCCTGAGAACCCGCAGAAGAATGGTGTCGCACAACCTCAAGACATCTCATGAGCCATTTTAAAAAGCTCGTTCAGCAAACGCCAAACACAAAAAGTTTCTAGGAAAAGTACTGGCAAGAATGCGATGTCGTGAAGTTAATAAACTTTGTTAGTATTTTATAACTGATTTCTAAATTCCCCGCATTTAAACAAAGTTGAATGTAAGATCTTTTTCGTTAACCGGTTAGTGAGTGCAGGACCAAAATTAGCGAGTTCACACCAAGAATTTAGTTTCCAAATGCTTTAGACCCTTGTTCTCATCCCTGCTCCGCATAAACGTCGACTTGACCCCGCTCCTCAGGCTTGATCAGGAAAACTGAATGGACAGCTTTAAAGATACATCGCCAGTCAGCACACGTAATGCTTCCTATGGAGGTAGAATCAGAACAACTTTCGACAGCTTGTCCACCTGAAAAATGTTTAAACAGTAGATGGGAAGGAGGTGGACTTGTCCCTTATCCCTCTCGGCAAAACCACGTCGATGCCAAACCCTAAATTCGCTCATAAAGAAAACATTGTAAATAAGTCCCCTATGTCATAATGCTACAAAGTCAGTGAAGTCCCAGTTGTTCAAAGCAGTTGAATATAGGTAATCATTGTATAAGGAGATAGCTGTAAATCAATAAAAGAGCGAGCCGTTTATCAAACGCTTTGAAAGAAACACCAAGCTGTGTTATTTTCCTGCCTATTACAGAAACAATTATTAAAAAAAAGCAAAAAAAAATTAAAAACAGAGACCACAGTATCCTATTTCAACCGCGTTCTAGGTTCAGTTTGGAAGCATAACAGAAAAGAAAAGTTAAGAACCACTATTTAGCGGTGACTTTACCAAAGTCTAACTAACAAACTTTGGAACCATTCAGTCACAACCATAGTATTATTTCAGACGGATAGTGAAATTATCAAGCACACAACTTTAATCCATCGTAACTTTTACCACTTAATGAGTCAGTTGATATTAAGCTGAGAAACTGACTAAGAATTGGCCCTCAATAAACTATATCAAAGCACCTTAAACTATTTCGTTGTAAAAACGCCTTGAAATTGCTTGTGCAAACCTACACTATGAAGACTAGTACTGCTGCACAAAACAGTTACTTTAAGAAAATGTGACTGCATCATTTGTGGTATCAAAATACAATACATTTCCGGACGGAGTCTAACCTCATTAGTTTAAATACCAAAATAATAAAAATCTAAGAAGTGACAGAAATGCTTTTTAAAAGCAAGGAAATGAGTAAAAATTTTACAAATGTTAACACCTAATGAGAAATACAAATATATTTCCATTGAGAAAACTCGTCAATCCCTTGTGACGCTCCTTCACGTCCAAGACCACTTTCTTTAACGCCACCAAATGCCGCTTCAGCGCATGAAATAAGACCTATAGAGAACCGCTTTAATTCGATAGTGCTAGAGCTTATATATAACAATGATGGAATATAATAAAAGTTAATGGTAATAAATCTTACCTGTATTGACACCGACCATTCCAACTTGCAGACGACGAGTGACCCTTTGAATTTGGCTGGGATCCCGGGTAAAAATGTAACCTAAGGTTGTGAATTAGAAAAAATGATTTTCAAAAAGTCCATTAACTTCGAAAAAAAAAGCAATAACGCTTACCTAAATAAATTTTGAGTACAGAAGAGAAAAATATTCAAGAAGAACTCATATAATTTGTTCTAAATGATATTCCACTTTAGTTATGAAAACCATTCATAAGACCACAATTTAGCCAGCTTACCAGTTCTTGGATGAGCTGGCTAAATTATGGTTGTACAAATGGTTTCCATAACTAAAGTTGAATATCATTCAGAATAATTATAGTTCTAACACTAGCCTTTAACACTGAAAAGAGTTCAAAAGAACATAAAAAATTCCCCACCAGCTAGTCCACTCCTGGTGTCATTAGCTAACTTTAGCACCTCTTCTTCAGTATCAAATCTAAAACTCTTGAATATATTAGAACACAGGTAACAAAGGAATTTCCAATATCAGTTTCAGGCACACAGAGTCATACATGAAAACAAAAAGCCACTTAGCCAAAAGTAGGAGGAAACTAACATTAAAATCACAAATGAATTTAACACATAAAAACTCAAAAAATCTTGTATTTTCCATATAAATCTGACCTAATGACGGATGCAACGGGACCGAATATCTCAGTATGCGCTATATCCATATTCATTTGCACGTCGACTATTACAGTAGGCTCGAAAATATTAGAATCATTTCCTCGTTTGCCACCACAAACTACCTTGGCGCCTTTAGAAACAGCATCCGACACCAAACCTTCAATCTGAACACTTTTTTTCAATTACTTAATGAACTATACACTAACAAAGCATTTACTGCTAAACAAAATTAAAAATAAACAAAATTACCTCAGCCATATCCACATAAATTACCCCAAATTATTAGCAGTTTCTTAAGTACCTTAAAAATTCAATAACAAAAAATACAGTAATTCAAAAACTATTGACGGTTCGTTTAGATGATCTTTGTAGTAAACCTAACATACCCGGCCAATAGTCAAGTAAAACAAGTCAAGCATCAAACAAAATTCAGAAAAGTATCATCACAGAGTTTAACGCATGAAAAGCAACTTACTTTCTTAACCGCTCGTTCATTAATCAAAGGACCCTGCGTAACACCTTCCTTCATACCGTTACCAACGACCAGTTTTCTGGCTTCATTTCCCAATAATGAGGTAAACTTATCATATACTGATGAATGAACAAACAGGCGATTCGCAGAGATGCATGTTTGGCCTGTTCCTCGAAACCTACTCGCTACTGCACCCTTAACTTCTCAGTGACATGTAACTGCAGTCAAGATTTAAAGGTAAGCAATATGAAAAAATCCAATCCCACACAAATTGAAGATGTTCACCTGCACAGCAGTTTCCAAATCGGCTGAAGGAAAAACTACAAGAGGTGCATTACCTCCGAGCTCCAGACAAACTCGTTTAACAGTGTTTGCAGATTGCGCCAGCAAAAGCTAAAGGAGTGAACTCAATTTGGGTTTACTTCACTGCACTGTACAGGAAACAAACTCTTTTTCTGCTTGTTTCTTTAGAAACTACCCCATTTACAATCAAAGGCTTTAAAAAAAGAAAAATATTTTAATTATAATAGAATTTCCTTCATGCTGAGAAAAAATTCAAATAAATGACTAGAAGCCGAAATAACAATGCACACAAGCAATTCAAAAAAAAAAAAAAAAAAA